ACCCTGTCAGTTTCTGCGTGGAGTGAGCGTGGGTTTGGTTAAAACTTTTACCAATAATGTTACACTATATATATATATATATTTTCAAAAAAATCTTAAAATAACTATAGCTTATCTCAAAGGAGTTGTAGTACTGAATAATTAAGGTAGAGAAGGTGGGTCTTAGTCAGGTTATGCATGTTTGTTTGGTACCTTGTGACTAGGCATCGTAATTGTTGCTCCAGTGTCTCAGTGTTTGGAATTATTTCAGGTGGCAAAGGTTATGCATGTAGGAAAACTGGGGGTTGATTTTGTTTTCAGTGTGTTGTATTTTCTGGTTGTATAGTGCTAATTTTCTTTCTTGGATCCTTCAGGGATATTGGCACAGGAGTGTCACTTTGATAAGTTTCACAGATTTGGAAGTTCTTATATTGCAGCTTCATATGTGAAGTTTTTGGAATCTGCTGGTGCCCGAGTTGTGCCAATAAGGTAGATTTTTATATCCTTACATGTGGGTGATAATTGTTGAACTAAGGGTGTCTTCTTAGAGGCACAGAAAGCAGTTGTGCTGCTTTTGAGAGTGTTTAAAGCTTCTTGAAGACTATTTAAAGATACCATAATTTGCAGTTTTAGAAGCAGATGGAATAAAACCAGGCTGAAACATGTTATTATTGTAAGGAGAAATATCAAGAATTACATCTGTTTGAAAAATACTATTTAACCTGTAAAATTGCCCTCCAGAGTTTGCATCCGTAGTTTTTTGAAATTAGCTATATTCAGTTTAATGTGTAGCACCCCAGAAACACACATAGGTATCTAGATACATATACGCATACTATCTTCGTCACATTGTGTAGTCCTAGAATTCAAGTAGTGGAGGAAGCCTGTCAATACTCTTTGAAGAAACCAAAGTCCAGTTCTGCTCAAACTGTGGGTCACTAACTCCATGTAGTGGTTTATGTTTGTTGTTGGTTAAAAAGTAGCAGAGTAACAGAACTCGCAATACTTCATAGCCAACAGTTAGCTATAAAATAGTAAACCCACTGAAATCAAATGTTAAAATTGTAATTGTCAGAACTTAAAAATAATACTAATGCAAATGCTAATGACTAATACTAATGCAGAAAATTACGGTAGGATGTATCTACACAGTCAAATAAGAGCACCAGTAAAGTGCCTGAACTAGAAGCAATGTTCCTCATGTAGCTGATAGAGCTTTCAGAATGTTTGCTGACCAGAAGCTTCATCCATCAGTGGTGGCTTCTAAGTCTGGCAACTAAGTTAGATGCAGCAAAGTTGGACTCTGAGTGTATGCAGTGTATCAGTTCTGCAGGAGTGTTGCCACCTTGTTGCTTTGCTGATATTTTGCTGATGCTGAGGACTTTCTCATCTTTGTACCTCTTAACTACATCTTTGCTGAAGAATGGGTGTGACCCACTGTTTGCAGCTCTGCCCTTCTGGGGATCAATTGGAAACCGGAGTGGCCAGTCTGCAGGAAATAATAACCATGCCACGCATGTAAATGTCAAATTTAACAAGTGCCTGCAAAGGGATCTCGGAGTACCTAATCCTGACCTGTACCTGACAGGGCCCTATTGTCAGTTTTGTGGGTTGAGCTATTTCAAGAGAAATATTTAGTTTGATATGGGTCTATTTCATTCTGTTTAAAGCATGCTTTCTACATATTTTCTCTGTCTCAGGTTTCTGTTCAATAGTGATGATATTTTTGTGGTTAAATACGCATTTTTCATATGCATTCTGTAACTATGTTCTTGGTGTTTCAGATTAAATCTTTCAGATGAAGAATATGATAAAATATTCCACTCTATTAATGGGTAAGTTTTGAGCACTGATTTTTCTGTTGAAAGATGTGATAGTTCTGGTATTGAGCTTTGCTGTATTCCCAAGAATACTTCCTACTCTCTTGAGAGGTTGTGCTGAGTGCTTCAGACACACAGATATGTTCAAAGACAGAGCACTACTTCATCTGATGTCAGTCTGCTGCCTTGCCTTTCCTTCCTTGAGGAGCACATGCCAGATAATCTGCAACAGTGCCAAGGCTCATCTTGACATTTTCCTGTGCTTGCCTGCAGGCAGAGAGAAGTGGCATTATAGTGCTTAACAAGTTTACAAGTGAAAACCCCACTTCCTCTTTGTTAATTTTTTCCTCTTCCTCATTTGAGTGATCACGTTAATCTTGATATTTAATAGCACTTGCTGGGTGTTTCATCCCTGTTCCTATCCTTTCTTCCTTCTAGTCCTTATCTTCTTTATCACAGAAGTTTCTGATTTCCAGTCTCTTCTACCCCTTTCTCTATGGGTGCTTTCTCTCGTTGCTTGAATGTCCTTTGCCTGTCATGGTTCTGTGGCTTCGGGCTTTGTTGGACAAACATTCTAACTTTCCAGCTGCCCTATGGCATGTGTTCTTCCTACATTCTAAGTGTGGGATAATGTTATCTAATTTAACAAAGTTTAATTGTGGACTAAACAAAGTAAAAACCTTTTATTTTTGCCTGGTACTACAGTGGACTTTTAGAAGAGTTAAATCAGCTGATGCTACACTTCACAGGCTTGATTGTGTGTGAGCCCATAGCATGTGATTGAGCTACTTGTAGTCATGAGATCAGCATCTTAAACCATGAATGTTTTTGTTAAGCTTATGCATATACTAGAATGCTAATCAACATGTATAGAACTTTTAAATTTAGCCCCATGGCTGCCTGGGGGGAGCATTGTCCTCTTATGCTCCACGCCATACCCTGTACACTAAGATGTGGGTCTTTACAGTCTTGTGGTATAAGCAAATGTAAGACAGTGACACTTTCTCCCCTGTGGCTTCTCATGTTGGAGACAAAATGAATAATTTCATCCCTTTCTCATGGCTGCCAGCCTCTCTTTGGTTGTTAGAAGGACTTGTACCAATGGGGTCTCCCATTATTTCTACTTCACCACCTACCTTGATGCAGAAGACGGTATTAGGCAATTAGATCCAGTTCCCCTATCCTTATGTCTTTGCAATGACTGGCAGTTTGTTTTGTGCTATGTAGGTGTGTAAGACCACTCTAGATTTCCTCTTTTTGCCCTCCACTGTCAGCTAGTGGCTTCCACAGCATAGCTGTATATAAATAAGGAATAAGATCCCTTGAGGGAAGGACTGTCCATTCAGAGGAAACTTAATATAAGAGATACCTTGATATTTCATGTTGCAGGAGCTGAGTTCCAGGTTCTTTGCAGTTGAAAATTATTTATTGTATAACACCACTTTCTTAAAATCATGAAATTTACTGTATTAGAGACAGAATGTTACTAATATAGCAATGTACTCCTGAGATAGCCTTTGCAATGCAGTGTATGTCACCCACTCTAGCCAGTTAGAGATACTGGAATACACGTAGTTGCATTTCAATCTGCTTAGGACAATGTCAAGCCATTATCATTGCTACTTAATGGGTTACTTCCTTTTAGCATTAGCAGAAATGACAGTTGTTTTTCCTAATTAGTATTGGCCAGTTTTTGGTTTGAACAAAAGGAACAGGTGAAGTAAGTTTTCCACTACTTCCAGGTAAGGATCACCTTATTTGTCTAACTAGATCTCTGTAGAAATCTATAATCTGACCTGTTCTGAAAATATCTTCAGCTGTATTAATTTTCTATATTGGCACTGGAGAGTAATCTGATGGCAGGGGGGTTAGAACTAGATGTCCTTTCCACTCCTAACTGTTCTATGATCCTATAAATACTGCTCTAGTCTTTTGCCAAGTATTTGGTGGCTTTTGTGTGATTTTGTGCATCATTCACCTTAAAATAAACTGAGCCACAATGGTATAAATGCACACTCAAATGCTCAGTATCATTTGAGGTGTTAGTTGTTTCTAGGTGCTTGTTAGTGTCTCACTGATACAGGTTGCCATTTCTAGAGCACAGAAGTGTAGAGAAAATCCTTCAGCTGTTTTGGTGAAGAATCAGCAACTGGTGGATGTGGCTTGAGTAAATCTGCTTGAGGTTCTGCTGCAGTGGGTTAGGGAGTGCTCACACGTTCAGTTCTGTTGGTTCTGTGGCTACTGTTCCAGTTACAGCCACAAGAGACTTCCTTTATTACGTATTACTGCCTCTTATAGTACTTGTTTACTTTCCATTTCATCATGCATACATGTGAAAACTCTGCTAGACTGCACTGAGTCCTTTTGTGGTGTTTGGGTTTGGGGAGCAACACAAAGAATAGCCAATGCTGATTATTTACTGTGGTAGAAAAAGATTATGCCCTGTTTCTTTGAAATTGTCCCTGAGATTGTTTTGTCATCTTCAGCTATATCAGATCCTGTGTGACCAACGGTTATGGCCAAACACACTTTTTTTCCCTTTTAGTAGGAACTTTTTGAGCTGTGTTGTCTGCAGTAGGAAAGGTCGCTCTGCCAGGACCACAATTATTCTTCTTCTTCACTGAAACGGAACAGGATGAATTAAGATCAGGGTCAGGATTTTAAAGTGGTAGGGAGAGCCAGCTAAGAGTCAGGACAGGATCTGATGGAGTCATGAGATGTAACCCTTTTGTATGCCTGCTGAAATCTGTATTCTTTGTGTGTTTTCTATTTACTCTCCTCTCTCTTAGATTATACTGGGCTTGGTCACTACTTTCTGATAGTTACTGTTCTTCAGTAGATGTACACTAAGATTTTGGATATGAATTAGTTAAAAGACTAAGACACCTAAACTTCGCTGTCTGTGTGCACTAGCTGTCTAAACTCCTGTAATTAATGTCATGCTAATCAGTACAGCCAGTGGAGCCTAACAGGCTATTCAGCCTACTGACTTAGGTTTCTGCTGTAGGAAAGCTGTTTGAGTCTCCATTGACTTTTCTGACTAGATCCCTGGAAGCTTAGATAACTATCTGTAGATTACTGAAGAGTAGGTATCTGAATCTAGGCCTGAATCCTACCCTTAAAATCACTATCAGACCTTTCTCTGTGTAATCGCCATTGCTAATCAGACTCTTGGATGTTGCCTTTCAGGGTACTTTTTCCAGGAGGCGGTGTGGATCTTAAGACTTCAGAATATTCCAGGGTTGCTAAGATATTTTACCACAAGGCATTAGAGGTAATTACTGAGGAACAGTCTGTTCTTGTTATTGTCACTGTTCAGAGATCAAAGTGACAGGGAGGCTCATATTTTCATAGTTCTGCATTGGCATCAGTGTGTTAACTGTAAGCCCGATAATAAGTAGCTCATTGCTGGCTTCTGCATAAAAAAACCATATAATATCTTAAGATTCAGACTTCTGACACCCGCTTCTGTTCTATCTTGTGTCGTGGTCTTAAACTACCAATTTCTTCAGGTGAAAACAGTATTGTTTATTCATTGTACTTGAGGCTTATGACTATGTGGAACTTGCAATAAAGTAACAGTAATGCCTTCAAAGAGTGCAAAGTGTCTTTTGACATGAAATGTTGAACAAAGATATGCATAGATGTAATCAGTTGCAGAAGTCCTATGGCTAAAGTTTAGACTGAGAACAGTAAGACAATATTAAGTCTTCACTTCGCCTGTATGTTACAGCTAGTGAAACAACTTTATTCTTACTTGTAAGTAGATTTAAATATATCTTTGCAGGCATAGATGGGGATGTACATTAGCATGTTACACCATTTTAGCTATTTATTTGCATTGGTAACTATGTAGCAGATTTTTAAAGTAAACAGCTTAATTTACAACATGCAAAAAGGTAGGAAGAGCATTTGAGAGCTTATCTTACTTGTTAATATTTATATGATCGTTAGCTTTATTAAGAAAAAGATTGAATTTCTAGGAAAGCTATTTCTTTCAAAGAACATCAGGAACGCTTTGAATCCTTACTGAACATTTAATTCTTTCAGAGCATAAGAGGTGGAGTTTTTTTCAGTTACTAATGAACACATTTGGAAGTAAAATATGCATTGTGGAAAGGCATGGAGATTTGCTGAGCTTTATATACAATCCCTATGATTTTTAAGGGATCTTCTGTATTCAAATCGCATAAAAATGTAATTTTTCTTCCTTTTTTCCTCTTTACTGTCCTTATTTTATTTTCTGTTAACATTGATTAAAATAGTGACAGAAGTCATGCTTTGGAAAACTTTGCCCAATTCTAAAGGCAGTTATGAGTAGTGCTTAAACAGTTACCGTGGCAGAAGTGTTCATCAGCAGGATGGAATTCCTCTTCTGCCCTTGCTGCTGACTTCCCAACAGCAGACAAGGAAAGCACAGGCAGTGCTATTTGCAGGACCAGTCAGCTGCTGCAATTCAGTAATCAAGTTTCCTACTGTTCACTTCCCATGACATGAATGTTGTTCTTTTGTCTGTCTTCATTCGTGGTGATTGTTAGTCTGTTGCCTTAAACCTGAATCTTGCAAAGATTGTCTCACTTCTATGTGAGACAATCTCATTTGTCTCTTTGAAACTGCTCGCTGTGTGAAGTGCAGACTGTGTCTTGGTATGCAGTACTGGGGCAAGGGGTTCTTGTGGTTTGCAGTCCTATTATGAAATTCTGTTGACATTTCACAATGATTAACTCAATTGTGTATGTTGTAATTTTGTGATGAGAGTGGCAGGTTTATTAGGTGGTAGGTGTACTTCAGGTGAGTGAAAGGCAGAAAGTAATTTTCAGTTCATCATGGGTAACCCTTTCTAATAAGTCGGGGTTTTTTTCCTGTGCCTTTTGTGCTGATTGCGTGTTTCGATTTTCATCTTTTGAGACTTAATCGGTGTTATAATATACTGGTAGTTTTACTAATGTAAGGTAAGCTATAATAGTCAAAAGTATATTGTCTGGTATGGAATTGATTGTATTTTATGGTTTTTAAAAATGTATGAGGGTTCCTTTTCATTTGCAAATGTTCACAATGAGAAATTGCTTGTTCTGCCTTTGCTTTAATATGAATAGAGGATGTGAAATGCTAATCCCCATCCAAGTCAATAGAATTTTACTAGCTAGGCAAAACCCCAAATGAAATACTGCTTTCCTGCTTTTAAACTAATTCTTAAAAAGTGATGTCTTGGATGTTGTTTAATATATGCTTAGCCTCCAGTCTAATGTTTAATGAAAAAAAAAAACCCAAAACAAAAAAGGGGAGGGGGGGCACAAACTGTTATAGTTCGGTTGTAGTAGTTCTTAAACTGTAGTGTATTTTTTGCCTTTGGTGGCTTTATTTCTCACTTGCATGAAAGACAGGCAGTGTTGCAAGTCTTGCGTCTAGCTGTGCGTGATGGGTGGTCATGAAGACTCTGCAGTACTATTGGCCTTCTTTCTGTAAATCTTCCATGTTTTGCTCTGAGAAGAAGTAGTTATATGGGCTTTTGTTACCATACTACCAGTAATGTAGTAGGGTAACATTTTTATTCTAAGCGTGTAGTTTCAGCTTTCTCAAGAAGAGCTTTTGAGCAGCAGCTCAGAGGGATGTGTGGTGTGATGCAGTATGCGTAACTTAAAAATGTTTAGGAACAAGTTAAGAAAGACGACTCAGATTTCACCAAGCTGGCAGTTCTGAAACATCCGTCTCTGACATGCACTTACTACCAGGAATGAACCATATAATAATGCAGATTTTCATTGTGTGTATGCACTGTGCTTATTGAACTGACAGAAAGCTAGTTGTGTTCTCTTTTTGTTTTTTTTTTTCTCCTTTTTACTTTCCTCTCTTGTTTTTGCACTTGTCTGTCAATTCTTATTCTTTTGAAAGTGATTATCACTTTTTTTATACTGTTTAAACTCACAATTTATCTCTTTGGAACACAGATCCAAAAACTAGTTAAACAAGCTTATAAGTATGTTACTTAGACGGTAGCCATCCTAGTAATAGGATTTATGTTTTCTTAATTCAGATGGGTGGGCACAAGCATTCAGACATTGCAAAGGGCCCTTGAATGTGATCATAACATGTTTCATATAAAAGTATGAATTGTAATGAGTAGGCATTCCCTCAAGATGCTGACAGACTGGTTTGTGTCTCTTCTTCTGGTTGCCTTCTTTATACAAATGTTGCCATTTTGTGGTTTCTGATTAGGCTGCTCTCAATATTACTTATTGATAGAAAGAACAGTCAAACTACTATCGTTAGGCTCAGTTTACTGCTTCAGTGGGCATGTGTATATCCCCTAGCCTTCATATTTCAGGAGAAAAGCTAAGAGAGTCTGTGTTTATTTCAGTTCTAATTGATCTGTTACAATTCCTTTAGTAGCAGTTGTGCTACCACAGTAGTTTTACATCTCACCTACACAAGAGAAAGCAAAAAGAGTAGGAAGTTCTCTTCGCTCTTCTTTCTGTAAATCTTCAGTACTTTTTCCTTACGTTGTTGTTTTTTATTTTGAAGGCTAACGATAAAGGAGATTATTTCCCAGTATGGGGAACATGTCTTGGACACGAAGAGCTTACATATCTCACGAGTGGCAAAGTTTTGCTCGCTAATACCAAGACAAATGGTTTTGCACTCCCTCTGAACTTCACCTCAGGTGAAAAATCCGTTACATCTCCTGTCTGAGTTTTGCTGAGAGGTCTTGTGTTTTGTTTGTGATAAATATGCAGGGGTGAATGTTTGGGAGTTTTCTGATGATTATCTTGTTACATTGTTTCTTAATAAATTGCCATAACTGTTTTTATAATGTTGGTGCAAATCTATCACTTCTAAAGCAGAGATGTGAGCACAAGCCATTTGAAACCAACAGCAGTCAGCAAAAACCATACCTGTAGCTCTTTGAGTCATTTGATAATTTGGACCTACAAAAATAATGTGGGTTTAGGTTCCTTTTTTGTTATAGAGTTGAATAAAATTCATTGGTCTAAAACCTGTCAAACTCTGAGAGTGGATGATTATAAATTTTTCGAATTGCATCTTTCCTAATGATGAATATTAGCATTGTTTTTCCACTTCTGTAGTACTGAAATTGGAGAGATCCCTTAAGACAGAGCTGTGCCACTCAGCAACACTGGTAAAATGTGGGTCTCTGTGCTACTTTATCCTTTAATATTTGAGTAATACATCTGTGGACCGTGTAGCATTCGCAAATTCTGTCTGTTGTGCTCATTGTGAATGGAAAGGCCTCTGAAATGAGTGGTAAAGAACGATACTTGTTTTAATGGGAACTTTAGGTAGCATTAAAGTTGGGTCCTCTCTGGGTGAGGACTGGAGGACAGTGGTAACAGCACATTGGAAACCTCTTGTAGTTATATAACTGATTTTCCTTGCAGCATATTCTAAAATCATAAAGTTATACTACAAATAAAAGTTTACTTTAATGAAGCATTTAGTTAAATTTGTCTCCTGCTCAGTATTAATCCATCTAATGGACTGCTGACAGCTTAGGTAACGGATAATACCCTTTTTTCATTTTTCTTTGTAACAGCTGCAAAAAACAGTAGATTATTCAAGAATTTCCCTGATGATTTATTACATGCACTTGCTACTGAGCCATTGACATCAAACTTTCATACGTGGAGCCTCTCCTTGGAGGTATTTGGTCATTTTATTTCCTGAACACAAATGCATTTGCTTTGTTAAAACTAGAAATAAATGAGCAAATAACACATCTTTCTCCTGACTCCTTATCACAGAATTTCACAAAGAATGAAGAGCTTCATAATTTCTATAATGTTCTGACCACTAACACCAATGATCAAGTGGAGTTTATATCTACCATGGAAGGTAGGGAAATTAATTTCCTTTGTATACTGTGACTGTAACAAACTAGTTCTTTAGAGGTGTTGTGGCATTGATGTTAGCTTGTATTGCAAGCTTGCTGTTAGAATAACAGGGTGAGCATCATCCCTGTCTCTAGCTGTGAGCAGCATACTCTGTGTGCAGAGATATTTTATCATTTGAGTTCATGTCTGTGAACCTAATGAATTACTTCTCTCACCTGCTGTTCTCCTTTCAGATGTCCTGGTACACTTTAGCACTAGAATATGAGTGCTGTGATGTGAAGTGTACAGCACTCATCCTGAAGTAGTTTAATCCCTCTGCAGTGCAACGTGCCTCTGTTGAACCTTGCTTTCTGTCTGTCTGCTTACACTTGTGTTCCTGTGATGCTCTGTATCTGTTTGTTGTACTGCAAGAACAATTCAGGGTATTGAGGTAACAGCAACCTTCCTCATTGCTTTAGCAGCAATACTGATAATTGCCTCCTCTAAAAAGCCTTTTTTGTTACTTACCTTGTGTTGCCTACATTTTGCACAAGGTTTGCTGAGATCAAGAAACAAGTTAGCTCTTTAGGGAGTTGTTTATCTTGATCAGTGCACTACTAGCAGCTCTACAGTAAGGCTCAGCTGTCCATCTATGGGATTCTTCTGTATGGCCTACTGGCTGTCCTCCAGAAGAGAAGAATAGCAATTTGATCAGAAAACCTGATTAGGCTAATGACAGGCATCTCCTGTGCCTGCAAGCGGTTTATCACATCAGCTGCTGTGCTGCATTTCTCTGTAAGAGAGTTAAGGACTGGTTTCCCCAGTGTACAGGCCTGGCACAGAGCAGGTGGGAGCTGCCCCTTGGTTGACTGGGCCTTGAAAGAAATCCTAAGGCTTGGATCTGTCCCATGGAACTGCCAGTGATATCCTGTGTGGCAGTGAATATTGTGTGTTGAGTGATGCTGGCAGTAGGTAGGAAGTTTCGAGACCGATACACTTGTAATATTATTTTTTAGTGTATATGTATATATTTAATTCTGAAATGAATACTCAAAGAGGTGTACAAAAATCTTCCTGCATGGAATGAGACCCTTCTTTTAGAATATCTTTTTTTTTTTTTTCTTTCAGTTCTACTGTGACTTAAACAGTTTCACCTTGCTGCTTAAGCTTTTGTGAAACTATTGATAAGTGAGGTATTTGTAACCTATCCTTTGAGTTCTTTTGCAGTAAGGCTAAGCACATAATTCTTTAGGTATAGACCTTGCCTACGTGCTTTGTGTTTGTTACAGCATACAAATATCCAATTTATGGTGTCCAGTGGCATCCAGAGAAAAATCCTTTTGAGTGGAAGAGTTCACCAGGCATTCCCCATTCCCCATCAGCTGTAAGAGCAGCATATTATATAGCTGACTTCTTCATTAATGAAGGTAAAAAGTTTATAATCTATAAAAGTCGTTTCTTAGAGTGAAGCATTAGTGAAAATCTTTGAAGATGACAGACTTCTTTTTCAGCTGTCAGAGTTCAGTACCTCTTGCTGCTTTCTGAGAAGATTACTCTGCAAGCTTTATAGGCTTATAAAAAAGCAAGGGATACTAGAAATAGAATGGCTTAGTAAAAGTGACATTAAAAGTCCAGGCATT